ATGAACAACTACTCAGGCTTAAAGAAGAATGACTTCATGACAGTGGCTCTTGTTTTAACACCTCAAATTCATTGAGTTTTTAACCTTCATCCAAAAAAGAAATTCTCTGAACAGTGACATAGATATTCTCAAACTTAATTAACCTTGTTGCTGTTTGTAGCCAGACTCTTTTTCATATAAATTAGGGGGGAAAGACATAGCTTTCCATTTATTTAGCGTTGATTTTAGAACATTGGGTCTTTCTTTAAGTTACCTTGCTTTTTTAAAAAAAATGTGATATTTTTTCAAATATAGTACAAATCAAATCCTGATCATAGTTAGCAGTAATAAGCACCTACTGTGTCTCATTATCACATAGAGGATGACCAAGATCTAGGACATGGGATGTATATTGTAGGAGAGGAATAGTTGGCAACTCAAGAAATAGCTCCTGGTCAAAAGGCATGGGAAATTGATACAAAATGAGAGAAAAAGAAGAAATGGAGTCTGTGAGGAACCACAAACAAAACTATGCCAGCGACACATCTAGCCCTTGCTCGGCTTCGTTTTCTTTAGGTAATCATCTCTTCCAACCTCTTTACCTATACTGGTCATTTTTTCAAATCACCACTCAGGAATAACCTCCTTTCTAAGGACCTCATGCCTTTTCCTGGCTCCATGCCCCCTCTGAAAGCCTGTAGCATTTATACCTGACTCATACAATCCTCTTCTTTATTATAGGCCTGTGGAACTCATCAATCCAACAGCAGTTTTCTAAGATGTGAGTGGGACGCTGGAGTGTCCCAGATATTTTCAAGAAATAGTTATGGATGATTCCCTGGATTTTATATTCTTTGGGTGGGAAATTACAGGATTGTAAAATATTTAAAAGAAGAAAAATCTTCATGAAAAGTTAAGGTACTAAAATTTGTTTGCTTTTTAATTAAAAGGTTAGATGGTTTTACTTCCTTCAAGCAGTACCATATTACTGATTTTCTCGATCTATGGCTAGGGGTTGGGGAGGAAGAGGGAGACCAGTTAAGATGACCGAGATGGAGCGCATTGAATGGGCTGGTGACAGAGGACCCTGGACGTCTGACCATTCCCTATAGTCAGGGAACACAGCAAAGTTTACCATTTGCATAGGAACCTTTTAATTCTTGAATGGAAAAATCTCTTTCCCGGAAAACTTCATGGAATTTCTGCCTCTGGCAGGGACCACAGTTATTCACCATGGATCATGAAAACTTGTGACGCAGTTGTCCAAACGGGCACCAAAGAAAGCGAAGAAAGTCTCAACTACATATTTTAAAATGATTTTAGGTTCCAGGTGATGGATTGGGCAGGCTGCAACTGGCACGGACAAGACTAACCATTTACTCAGACCCAGGGGATCATTTCTGATCTAAAAACCGTGTCCTCCAAACAAACACAGGTCCAAGACCTTACTTCATCGGAGGGACCACACCTTCCACCTGCCTCTCAATTTTGCGCGGTGATAGTTTCAGTCTTTCATTTGAGCGTTTGCGTAGGGCCTACCCAGGGGCTGCAGTTATATGTTTGAATGAAAGTTTCTTTTCCTGGGTGATTTTGGCCATCTGGTCTGCTCCCCCTCCCATCACTTGAGATGGATTGAATGACAAATATGTACTCCTAAGGATGCATCTTGTCTCAGAAGAGCCCCTTTGCTATTACAGAGTTCTGAATCAAGGAGCCAACTCTCTGAGAGGAATCTCCAGTTACATCAAAATTTTTGATTAAGGCTCCACTATAAAATAGCTGACATTTATTGGACACTTCATACCTGCCAAGCCTTATCCCATAGCTACATGTATAGTTTCATTTAATGTTCACAGTACGGTAGGAGATATAAACTATTACTATCTTTTTTTTTTTTGCACTGGGGATTGAACCCAGGGTGCTCACCACTGCGCCACATCTCCAGCCCATTTTTATTTATTTATTATTTTGAGACAGGGTCTTGCTAAGTTGCTGAGGGCCTCACTAAGTTGCTGAGACTGGCTTTAAACTTGTGATCCTCTTGCCTCAGCCTCCCAAGCCATTGGAATTACAGGCGTGCACTACCACACGCACATCTTAGTTCTAACCATCAGTAAACGGAAGCACAAAGGGGCTAAATAACTCGGCCAAGGTCACACAACCAGTAAACAGCAAAAACAGATCCCCCAATTCCCCTCCTCACCCCAGATCTTCTCCTTTAGTCTTCCTCCTGTCTGTCAGTTTATGACAACCCTATTCTTTCAGTTACTGAAACCCAACCCTTGGGGCCATCTTTGATTCTTGTCCTCTCAGCCATATCCAATGCTTCCAGAAATCCATTAGCTCTACTTTCAAAATATATGTCACTCTGACCACTTCTCTCCGACTCCACTGACCCTTCCTGATTTGAGCCACCTCTGTCTTTAGCTTGGAATATTGCCAGAACTCTCCTAACTGGTCACATGGCTTCCATTCTTGTCTCCTGTGTCTCCACAGGCTATTCCAGCAGCTGGGGTGATTCAAATGTATGTTAGAACTTGAGGCTCTTCTGCTTGAAAGTCCAAGTCCTAACAAAGCCCTGTCCTCTACCCTGTTACCTCACTGCCTGCTGCTGTTCTCACTCACTCTCTGCCAGGGACGACTATGGGCCTCTTGTTCTTCCTTGAACACCGGGGCTCTCTGGCCTCGGGGTCTTAGCAATATGTCTCTTGATTTGGAATGTTCCACTCTCCCATAGCATCATGGTTAATTTCCTTGCTATCCAGGTATCTACTGAAATGACACCTTAATGTATCCATTAGTTGATTGACACTGAAACACACTCACGAAACCCTCTGTGGTGAGAAGTAACACCACTGAGAAATGTCCATGTCTTGGCCATCTGAGTAATACAAAACCCTCTTACTCTATTTTTTTGTTAGCATGTGTTACCTTTTAACATTGGTATGTAATTTCTTTGTCATGTTTACTATTCTCTGTCCAACCTCTCTCTATAACTGAGATTTCTGTCTGTTGTGTTCTCTGATGTATCCCAAGCACCCAGGAGGGTGCCTAGTCCATTGTGATCAATGAGTATTTGTTGAATCAATGAATAAATGGATGTGGACCTCAAATCTTAGGGGGGTATAATTTTGTTATAGAATAATACAGAAAAGGAAATAATGCAGACTATATAAGGTAGTCTTAATCAAGGGTCAACTGAACAGAAAACTTACTGTATGAAATCATATGAGGGTATTATAAGATGTAAACAGAGGCTAGAGTCGGTTGGGAAAATATAGTGTGAGACCTTATTAGGAATTCTTATAATTTTGTAGTACATTAGCAAAAGGGCACCTTTTCTTCTTTACTTAGAGACCCAGATTTAAATTTGTAGCCCTATATTTGTAATACCAGAACATAGTCCTAGGATGTCCCTGCTTTCCTCTTTCCCTGCTCTTGTGGTCTCAAGGGCAGTAGCTATTTCTCTGTGGTATGGTCAGACATAATGAGAAATACAGGCACATATTGTTGGATCACTCAAAAGCTGGGAGGAATCAGGAATGGAGTTATTGGATTTGGGGTATTTTAATCATTTCCTGCAAGTTTTCAGGTTCCAAAAGAATCAATTTCCAAAAGATTCAGGTAGGGTACACTTGATGAAATTTCACTGCTTCTGCATACAGTTTTCAAATTTGGTGGAGTATTGTTCAGGTAGTCAGTTTTGAGGGTTGACCAGATGCCCGAGACATGGACATTTCTCAGTGGTAACACTTCTTTGTGACAATCTTAGTTTCTTGCTTTGATCAAGTTAAACTTTTTCATCATCTATATCCATTTTACGGACTTTCTGGGCTTTCAGGAAAATAGGTTTGGCATTAATACAGGATGAAAAAGGAGAGTAGAGGGAATTAGGAAGAAGTAAGTGTCTCCCATTATGAGGCGTGGCTTCCTCTTTGTTTATGACGTAACTCATTTTTATATCATACGGCGGGGTTTTACCAAGATGTCTTCCAAAGGCAACAAGGTGGTAACCAGTGCAACTACCTGAACTGACCATCAGTCAGCTGCTTTAATGATCTAATGGAGAAAGTGAATTTTGTTAAAGAAACTAAATATTCAGACAAAGGTTGATGTGGAAATGCTCATTTTAGGGGCTAAATTCTTTACATGAGCTAAGCCCTGGCTGTCCCTGACAGGCTGAGCCCTGTGACAGTTACCATGGACAGGAACAACTACGGAGGCTGAAGGGTTCCCAGCCAAGGCTGCACCCCACCTCCTAAAGGAGGCCTGAAACCACCAAAGCTAGGCTCACGCCAGAGATTTTGGCTCCATCCGTCTGGCATGAGGTTGACAGCATTATTTTCCCTAAAAAGTTTTCCAGGTGATTTTACTTGTAGCCAGAAATAAAAACTACCTGACATGAAGGATCCAGAGAAGAGCTATCTGAGACAGTGGTAGAGAGAAAGTAGTTCCCACTCCTGTCTCTTCATCCCTAATGCAGGGGTCCCTTCTCCCGGTCTCCTGCCCCATGAGTTTTCCATTTTCTTCTGGATTATTTACACAATCATATAAACAACTCTCAATTTGTCCTGTCCTAAATACAAAGTCTTCTATAAACTTCCTCCTGTCAGTGCCCATTTTCCTGTTTCCCTTGAGAGAAAAGCTCCCTAAGACGTGTTTTCTGAATATGTTGTCCAATCCTTTCTGCTCATTTTCTCTTAAGAGTGCTCTATGCAAGCAGTGACCCTCACTACTGCTCCGACTTGGTGCTTCTTACCCCCTGGCCAGGCCAGAGCATTCGGGGCTTTCCCTCCACACCAGAAATGCGGAACCCAAGGACCCAACATAGGCTTCCTGGCATATTCCAGAGCATAGCACTCCCTGATCCATGGCTGGCCTCACAGTGCCAGGATCACAGCTCCATGAACAGAAAAAAAGATCGAGAAAACTTCCCAGGAACACACGTGGAGATTGGTGTTTGAGAAATGCTGGCGATGATAATAATGAACCCTTCAGTAAAGGGAGAGGTTCTGACTTACACAGTGCGTGGTGGTGATGATGACTGAACTGGAGATGAAAGAGAGGCCATCGTTCATGCTGACCTGTAGGGCGGCTTTCCTGAAACAACAGGGGAAACAGATGGAGATGAACAGTGGGTGGAGAGCTCCTAACTACCCTGTAGGCTCTTCCCTAAAGGGCCTGAGACTTCTCCTTATGAAATGTGGAGGATAGTCTCTCTGACCCATCCACCTGTAACAATCTAGAATGGTGTCAGGATATGCTTGGCTAGCGTCCCAAGGTGAGGCATTGAGGCCTCATATTGTGGTGAGTAGCACTGAATGAGCAAAGCCTGCTTCTGTTGAACCTACTTGTCACATTGTAATAGGACAAAGTATTATTAAAAAGTGATCCCGTCAAAGGAGATAAACTGGCTAGATGTTCTGCTGTCGTTATCTGGACTCTAAGAATTTGATAGGGGTGCTTTGTTACCATCCTGCAGAGGCACAGAGGTAAAACAGTAGAGAAACTAATTTGCCTGTGTCCTCCTCCCTTCTGTGAGAACTCAAACATGAGTTCACATTTTGCAGCGAGGACCCTGAGCTAGTTTGTGAAATCCGTGATATCATAGGTTGATGTCAGACAACCAGAACAGAAGGGTTTACAATAAGATTAAGTGATTAACAGCAGAATTCAGAAGAACAACTTCCACTTTTTTTTCCTTAAAGCCAATCTTATCAACAGGCTGTCATCGATACAATTTTGGAAAGGCTCTTTTCTGTCCTCTGCACCGACACTGTTTCCCCACCTAATTCTTCTCTTGCTCAGGTGCTAATTCTCTTTCTTCTGCAGAGGTTTTTGGTCACACTCGCATGAGCACTTATCACTATCATGATATTTCCCCCATAAATTAGTTCAGGGAGATGTCTGGGTGAGCACCCAATGCTCTGCAGAGAAGTAAGGAAGGGGCATTAAAGGTGACAGTGAAGTCTGAGCCTGGGGTCTCAGTTTGTCAGGAACCAGTCGAGCTCCCACTTCACCTCTCTAGGCCTTCTTTTTGAGTTTCCCTAACTCTCAGGAGGAGATAACAACCATCAAGCAGGAAGATCAGGATGATAGGGTGGGGAAATACATGTGCGAACTTTCTAGAAATATAGCTGTGATTTAGTCAGAAAGAACTGGAATTGAGCCTAGGCTCTTCCTCTGACTACTGTGTGAACTTGAGCAAGTTACTCAAATTCTCTCAGCCACATCTGCACATCTGTATAATGGGAACATCTGTTTATGGAGAACTGGGGAGGATGAAGAGAGATACTCTGTAAAACAATGATCTTAGTGCCTGGCTCTCTTTAGCCATTGGCGCCAGCATTACTGCAGGAAATCTAGAGAAAGTTTCCATCATGATAATAGAGAGAGAAATTTTCTTTTCCCTTTGTCTGGTCCACCTCCCTTCTCCTCCCTGTCTGAGAGATCATTGCTGGCAAAAACTTACATTCCAACTTCTTTTAAGATAGGTGCTGGACACAGCAAGTAAGTATCTTCCACAGTGAAGGGTTTCTCATCTGTAAAAAGAAGGAAGTGAGTGGGTTAAAAGAAGTGGACAAGCTTACAATTTCAAATCTATTAACTTCTAGAGATCATTGACCAAAAATCCAGGGAGACATGAGGAAGACCAAGAACTTTCTGAAATACAACCTCTATGTGTTCTCTAAAATCCATTAGCAGTGAATTCCAGGGCTCCTGCCTGCATACTAGTCTTCTGACCCCACTGTATTCAGTTGTGTCAGTCAGAGCAACTAGAGACTGAATTCATAAGTTATGATTTGAGTTTATTTCCCCCTCAGAAATAATTGAGGGGAAACAGGAAACACTGGACTGTTCCTAACGTATTTCATATCTAGGTCTAGTTTGAGAAAGAAGCCATATTCGTGGAAAAAGTGTGTGACCAGTACAAGAAGCAGCTAGACCAAAATATCATTGGGCTTCAGGAGACAGGGAGCTCCTTTTACATGGGTGACATGGTAAGGTCACAGGAAAATCCAAACCGTGAGCTTTGCTAGTGGAGAGAAGGGTAAGAGACAATAAGGATACTATCATAAACTAAGACAGGGCAAATGAGGTGTGTCCCAGGGCAGGGGGGTAAGTAGGACTTGAAAAGATAGTGAAGCCAGAATTAGACAGGTAGTCAGTATAGATAGGTAAAATCAGTCAGGTTGGATCAAGGAGGCCAATTTTAGCAAGTCTGGGAAGTTGGAGACTGCCCCCTGGGGGACTGAAATGTTAATTCCTTCAGAGCCCTTCCTCCACCCTTATCAAGAACTGCTCCTGCACCAACCTGTGGCTAAGGTAACCTGCCCCTCCCTACAGGGACCTATAAGGTTGTTGATTAATGTGTCAGGGGTGCTCCATCTTGCCCTTCCCCCCTTCAGCCCACCTGTTTCCCACCTTTTGGCCATCCCACCAAGCATTTCCTGAGTCTAGTCATGTAGGGAGGAATGAGAGATAAGGGTAAGAAAGCAGGACAACCAAGGAAGCCTAGGATATATAAAAAGACAAAACACCCTCGCTGCTTCTTGGGATACCAGGATACCAGCTATGGCCCCCTTCTCCTTCCTGGGAGAAGTCTGTTTCCCCTTTTTAAATATACCCTGCTTTATATGCTTGCCTTGGCGTGCTTCTCTGTTATGCTTCAACATGTGAGGGAGCAGAACTCTAATTAGTGGTATCAATAGTATAGAAAGAAGTTTGGTCCAAGTTCTCTGAGTTGGCCTGAGGGATTTGGGATCAGATCTATAAAATATGAAAAGAACTTGGAGGATTTCTGAGCAAAATCAAAATGACGAATTTGGAGAATTTAGCAGATATAGCTATGGAAGATGAATTACAGTGGAGAGGGAGACTCAGAGGTGGAGAAATTCTTGCTGCTATAGTTGATCAAAAAAACACTCAAGTACCTTTAATCTCAAACTCCTTAAGAACTTCATTGTGTCTTGGGGCACAGAGGCAGGGCTGAGAAGTTAGTAGACTCAGATGACAATAGTCAATCCTTCATGCCTCAGGGTTCATTGGCTACACAAGCTTTACAGAAGGCTATGGTATGACCCATCAAAGAAACAAGGGTAAATAAAACTTGTCTCTTTAATCTACCCATAGCTAGAAGATACAAAGGGGATACATATATTTTTGAAGGACAATTTTCTGCAACTGTTTTTTGCTATGAAATTGTTGTCTCCTAGGATCTGTGCAAGTCATGACTGCAGAATACATTTGATATCACGTGCTTGCCTGGGTGGAGATTAGTAATTCTTGGTTCCTTCATGCCTGGATTTAGGGACAGATTCCCCTGGGATAGGGGTTAGAGGACATATAAAAGCACTGTGTCCCTCTTGGAAAGTGGAAGAGGATGCTGTCCAGGTAAATCTTCCTATGGTGAAAAGTAGAGGTTCTTCCAAGTCATTTGTTCATTCATATGTCCCACAAATATTTGCTGAAGCCCCATGATGTGCTAGAAATATGGGCCTTTAGCAAAGAATTTCATGAATTTCATAGGAGCTACAGGAGAGATAGTCATTCAACATATTTCTTTTAATTTTTAAAATATATTTATTAAAAATACACACACACATGTTCTTTATGTGTCTAATATGTTCCAAGCACTGTATTAGGACTTGCAAGAACTGACAGGCTAGTAATCATACAAATTCGTGTTTAATTATAACCAGGATGAGCACACACAGGTGCAGGGGAGCTGATCCTCATCCCGTTGAGCAGGAAAGGCTTCCCTGAGGAAAGGCTATTTAAACTGAAACCTGAAATTCAGGTGGGGAGGTGGCACTGCAGAAGTCCTGGGGCAGGAAGGAATCCAGACCTTTTGTGGTAAAAGGCCAATGAGACTTGAATTTGATCGAGACACACATGGCTCAAAATGAGACTAGAAAAGGAAGTGGGGTTAGATGACCAAAGCTGGGTCTTGGGTGGGACATGGTGGGACTTTCTGGGATTTTTTTTTTTCCTAAAAGCACCAGGGGTACTGTTGGAGGTTTTCCACTATATTGAGAATCAACTATTGGCAGACTGTGGAAGTACTGGAATGGGGAGGCTGTGTTATATAAAATTGTGAAGCTGATGATGACAGTAGGGGTCATGCAGTGCCTAAACCTGGCATTATTGTTTTTTTTCTGGCTATGACGACAATGACAGCTGGGCTCACCTGGGGCACGCCACGTGTGGGTGCTTTCTAAATGCTTCACATGCATCGACTTAGTCAAATCTAACCTTCTAGCAGTGCTAGAGAGGGGTACTGCTCCCTTTATTTTAAAGGTGAGAACACACAGAATAAGTAGCTTGCTCAGAGCTGCATGTGGGCACCTAAATCTGCCCCCAGGCAGGCTGGCTGTGGTCCACAAGCTTATCTGATAGGCTGTTCTGTCGCCCTGGATGACAGCCATGATCACCCAGTCTCTCCACCTGATAGACTCGTGAGCTAAGGCGGAGCAGGGATCATCAGGCTCATTTTTCAGATGTAAAATGGAGGCTCAGGGAGACAACTGTGATTTCTGGTTACATGGCAAGTTGGAGGCAAAACCAGGACTACAATCGAATTCTTCTGCATTATTCCTTCCTCCCTAAAAGACTCTCCATTCCAGGAAAGACTGGCATTAGAGAACAAATCAAAGTGGGGACAGGCATCGCTGAGCAGAACCTATATTTATTTCCTCGTGGCCATGGCTTATCCTGTTGCACATGCCCAGCAATACCTGGGAGTGCAGCTTCCTGCCCACAGAGCCAGCCCACAGATCCTCGGGCAGCCACAGAACAGCCACAGGAGGCCTCGTGACTCTGGGCTGCATTCTGTGGGAAGAGCTGGGTCACGCTGAGGAGGGTGTCTGAGGTGGCACATGGCAGGGACAGAGCCAGGGTGAATGCAGGGGCTGTAGGCCCAAGTTCCTGCCTCAGCTAGTGTCTGAGCTCACTTCTGGGCTGGATACCTCCTGTCTCCTTCCCTCCATCCCAATTGGAAAGGAGGAGGAGGAGGAGGAGGAGGAGCATGACCTAGATAAGTAGGTATTTCTTACTCTCTCCCTCTTTTCCTTCTCCTTTCCTGCCTGGGAGTCCAAATGTTTCTGGAGTAAGGCAGAGGAACACCTTGCCGGGAGGACCAAGAGCTCTGGTCACAGCTGCAGGACAGCTCTGATACCTCCTCTCAGCAGTTTGTCAGCCTCCAAGATTTGTGGGCTGCTCTGAGGAGCTGGCATTTTCTGCTCTGAGAGGGATTGTTTGGTTTGGAGCCTGTTTTCACTTTACCACAAAAATGAGTGGCTTTTTTTTTTTCCCTTTTCCCCTCCTCTTTCTCTCTAAACAAAGGAGGGCCATTTGGTTTCCATAACTCAGATCATCTGACTCCTTCCTGGAATGTCCACTTGGGAAGCAGGGCACAAAGCCTTCCTCGTCTGCTCCCTGGCTGGGCCAAGCCTGGCTCAGGGGCCATGCTAGTGCCAAAGCCAGTGAGTTGTATAGTTTATGAGACCGTAATCTACTCTGAGGACAACCCAGGCCCCTTCCTCTCTGCCTACCAGGCAGCCACTTCAATGCTCCTTAGCACTGAGAGGCTAGGAGGAGTGGGGCAGCCTACTGAGCTCTTGTTTGCAACAGAGGGGGAAATAAAGGAAGTGTGAGGAGTTTGAGACCAGAAGTTAAATGGAATTACTAATAGATGATGTTGAAATATAAGTTTTCTTGTCATTCCTAATGATATTTCAAGATTCTGTGCATCCTCATGACATAGGTTAACCTAAAGCATCTGTCTACAGGAGTCTGATAATCAAACAGAAGCTTGATTTCAATCAGGACTTGGGGATCAATGAGGGTAATCACATCAGTTAGAACAAAGCACCCCAGATCTAGGAGGTAGGCATCCCAGAAGCTGGATTCAGAGGGCACAGAAAGGGAAGAGGAGACTTTGAGAACCGACAGATTGAGACTACAGTCCCAGATCTTCCCCTTACTAGTATACAACTGGGGAATGACTTCATCTGTAAATGGTGATGATGGCATCACTGCACAGAGGTGTGTGTATGGGGTGGGGGCTAAATATGAAGGTACTAAGCATGACACTTGGCACTTGATAAGGACCCAGGAAATGTCACTCTATTACATGGATATTCACATCTTTAAAATAGACTACATGAATGTGTGGTTTAAAGTCAAAGAACTGAAGGTTTTAAATTTCAAAATGTCTGATTGCTTAATACAGTGGGTTCTACAAAACTAACATATTTTTAGACATCAGGAATTCCTAGAAAAATAAAAGCCTTTG